CAATGGGCTATAGATCATAATGAGGATCCCGATAAGTTCGTGACCATTACAGATAAAGACAAAACTGATTCAATAGATTATCTTACAAGGATAGATGTTGATGCAAATACCTGTCTCTTTAATATAGAACAAGGTAATGATCCCCACGATTTTATGGAAATGACTTATCGGGAAAGATTGATAGGAGAAGAAATTTTACGCCGTAGACTTGAAGATGCAGGTGAATGCATATGGCTCGACACTGATGAAGAATGGATAAAAAATAAAACCATACTCCAGGAAAATGGATTGCTATGGTAAGTTATTACAACTCGGTTTGATCATTATAAGGTGAGAATAAAAAGGTTTTATTGGTAGAAACATCCAATGGAGGGGGGCTTTTTTGCCTCTTCAAACTAGCCAATATAAAATTTTCCAATAAAAATGCATATTTATAATTTTTTCAGAATCTTTGACCACTTCTATACTTTTGATCGATCTCGTATCTTCACCAATATCCATTTTCGATAAAATTATATCAACCACAGGTATAGCAATACTAATCTGCGGATAATTAATTTCGATTTGAAAAAATACATTTTGAATGTATAGTTGTAATCCAAACAATCACTCCATAAATACAATGTCGAGAATTGCTACAAATTTTGCAGATAAATATAATCTTACTCCTCAGATGAGCGTAATTGAGCTTAGCAATCACACCGAAGAATTGATAAAAATTTTGAGGGATCCCAAAGTACGCGAAAATGCTCGAAACCGATTTCAGAAATTAGGATTTAGTAAAGAACAAAAATATGCACTTATCCCAATTCAAACTTCTGGAAGGCGTATTATGGGTAGGGATCCCGTTAAGAAACTTGCTTTGTATATTAAGGAGAATGAAGATAATCTTGAACCAGAACAGATAAATGAATTGGCCTATAATTTGGCTAGAACGGGTCCCATTGTCATAGCCCAATCTTCACTTCTTAAATTGCTTCGAAAAGAATTACGCCGACTCAATACTAAATACATTACATTAGAAGCTATATATATCCCAAATATTACTCAGGAATCAAATAAAGAACAAGGGAAAAGACAAGAGCTTCGAGAAGATGAAGGATATAATTGTCCCGAATTCTTTACTCTAGAAAAAGTACAGGAACGACTTCAAAAATGTGACACAGCTAACCCTCCTACAATACAAAATTTAATCGATACAATGGTAATGCTTTGTATGAGGCCAGCAGATGTGAGAAATCTTCATATAGACCAGTATAATTCAAATAATGCGGAATGGTATGATTCTAAATATTCTTGGTACTGTACTGGCTATGCCAAAAATAAAAATGATGAACCTAGGCCATTTGTATCGATGGAAAAAGACCCACTACGAGCTATTGAATTACTTACTTGGATTCAAAAGTCGATTTTGAAGAGATTTCCATTTCTAATAAGAGATAAAGATGGTGATGTGAATGTTCATCCAATTAATAACTTTTTAATCCCCTATGGCATTAGTTCATCATATTTAAGAAAAATAGGTTCAGAACATACTATTATAATCCACGAAGGTAAGACTCGCTCTAAATGTAACCGTCTTTGTAAATTAGTATTAAGGCAGAAAATAAATAGAGAAGTATCAGATCATTATGGTATAATGAATAACAGACTGAATAATCCAGCACCTATGATTAAACAAGAAAATGACGAAGTTGAAAGTATTATCGATCTATAAAGAGAAGTTTCTGATGATGAGAACTAATCACGCTTCTTTACTTTCACCACATTCACAGTAAAATCTTTGTCATCTAATGATGATTCAGAGTCAGACCCAGATGAAGATGAGGATGAAGATGAGGATGAAGATAAAAATGCTGTATCGTTTAAAAATTTCTTTTTTCTTTTAGCCTTGTATAGTGTACGATTTCTTCGAGAAATATTGGGGTTTGCTATTGAGTTTATAAGTTCCTGATGAACCTCGGGTTTTACTATCTCTAGTAATCGGTGAAGAGAAATTCAGATTTTTTATCCAATACTTGCCTACGAATATTGGATATTACTCCAATAGTATTCTGTCGTTCTGTTAAAGACTTGATTACTGTTTCGATACATTCACATAATTCTTGAGACAAGATAGCATTGGCCATGTCAGCTCTGCTGATATTATCTTTAACAATTGTTTCATTTATAACAGACTTGTTATTAGCTTCAGTCATTGTAAATGCGTAATTTTTTTATTAATATGGATTTAAAAGTACGCCTAAATTAATTATCTGATATTTACTTATTTTTTCGATTAAAGATATATAATACATTACTTGAAAATGGCATGACTATTGCGGAGCAATAACCAAAAGGGTCTAAATATTTTTGATTTACCAGAATTGCTAGAACAGATCTTATATTTTTTAGAAATCGATCAATCCCTCCATCCCACTTTGTTTGTTAACCACTTTTGGTACAAGTGTGGTACACCGCTACTATGGAGGAGAGTTGGGTTAAAAGGTAATGATATTCATTATGGACATTATTTCCCAGTTGAATATAATTATTGTGAACGATATCGAACGCGATTAGAAAGTTTCATAAAGCTGATATGTGAGAAGAAAAAACCTGTCTATGCCTCAAACCTGAAAAGCTTAAAAATTTCATATTATCATTCAATTACACACAAATTAATTAGATCTATCATAAATTACTGCCCAAATATAATTCATTTAGACTTTAAAAAATGCGTGGGCATTAGTGATAAGACATTAATTAAAATAGCTTCATCGTATCCAAATTTAAAACATCTTAATTTATGGGATAATCGAATTATAACTGATGAAGGACTATGTCAAATTGCACAACCATGCAATAAATTAGAATATCTAAATATTTCTTACTGTAGAGGTATTACCGATAAATCATTAATAGCAATTGCAGAATCTTGTCATAATTTGAAAAAATTTTATTTTAGTGAAGCATATTGGATCACCGATAAAACTATAAGTCGTATCTTAAATTCATGTATTAATTTACAATCTTTAGATATTGCATTTAGCTGTGGAGAAATCAAAGATGCTGATATGTTAATACAAGCATATCTCAAAATAGAATATCTCGATTTCGCCGATGTTATGGCTTTTCGAAATGATTCTCTTATTGTACAGTAGCTATTATCGGATCTTCTCCAAATTTAAAACATTTCAATATTTCTGGTAATGATATCGGAGATGAGGTTGTTGAAGCAATAGCTAGTACATGCCGTGAATTGGAATATCTTGATCTTGGAGGGTGTGGATTCATTACCGAACCATCGATATGTAATGTTATTCGTTCTTGTCCTAAACTTCAGCATCTTGAACTTGGATTTTGTGATATTTCCGATACAACCATTAAAGAAATAGCACGTTCATGCCTCAATCTAAAATATCTTAATTTGGAAGGTTGTGAAAATGTTAGTGAAAAGATCATAAAACGACTTAATCCAAGTATATGTACACTGACTCAAAAAATTGTCCCAATAATTAAAACTTTTTTGTTTATAGGATATATTTTTTGATCGATTAATTT